GGGCGGGGGCCCCTGCCCCGGGTGTGAAGGATGCCTTTCCTCCTCGCCCCCGCGGCCCTCCCGGGTGGTCTCCGCCAGGGCTCCCCAGCGCTCGGGGCCTGGCGGGTGTGGGTACCGGGAGAGCTGAGGTTCACCCCCTCACCTCCCACCGCGCTGCCTCTGACACCTTTATTTTTTTTTTCATCCATTTAAATTGTACATTGAATGTGTACCACTCAGTGGCTTTTAAACACTCGCAATTTTAGGACGTTGTCATCACCCCAGGAAGAAGACCCACATCCCTTAGCACAGTCACTCCCCACCCCCAACAACCGCTGATCTCCTTCCTGCCTGTGGATTTGCCTTTTCAGGACATGTCCCAACAATGGATTGTACGATGTGGTGACGGGCTTCATGCGCTGATCATAAGGTTCCTCCACGCTGTGGCGTGTCAGCGCTTCATTCCTGTTGTCAAATAACAGTCCACGGTGTGGGTGACGTGTTTTAGTTGGTGGACGTTTGGGTTATTTCTCCTCTTGGCACCTGGGAACCACATGGTTGTGAGCTCTCTGCACAGGTGTGTGTGTGGGGACGGGTGTTTTCTTCTGCTACGTTTCTCGGAGGGCGTTGCTGTGTCCATGGTGACGCTCCGGTGACTGCTGGAGAGTGTCCTGACCACCTTTAGAACGGCACCGGCCCGGCCCTTCTGCACACCCCGGACCCCTGACCACTGACCGACTTGTCTACTGTCGGCTCCTCTCCCTCCATTAGAACTTGGCTCCTCGTGGGCTGACATCACTGCCTGTTCTGTTTGCTCTGTGTCTCCAATGCCTGGCACAGAAAAGATCTGTTGAATAAATGACTGAGCTGGAGGAAGGGCACCTTGAACGCCAAGTGCAATTGGATGTCCAGGCTCTACTGGGACTTTTGGGTAACCCTCACCCTTGTGAGCCTGTTTCCCTTCTGTGCAATGAGGAGCTTTGGTCAGGAGTTCCCGGTTCTGGGGTGCTGCCCTCTGTGACTCAAGTCCTGGAGGGAAGTAGCGTGATGAAAGTGCAGCTCCGGGAGAAGAAGGAATGAGTCAGCTGGGAGCTGGATGGACGTGGGTGGGGTGGGAAGGGAGGAGGGGGGCTGGGGCAGGGAGGCCAGCAGTGATCCTAGGGACTTCTGGACGGGAGGCAAGAGGAGGAGAGGGAGACGAGGCTAGAGAAATCCCAGAGGAGGCAGGACTGGGCAGTCAGCTCGAGGAAAGGGAGAGAGAACAGAAAGATGGCCGGTTTGGAGCCTGTGAGAATGGAGGGACAGGGTACCCTAAGGTCTTAGGTCCCAATGAGCCAGTTGCTTTTCCTCATCAAGATTTATTCTCCTAACCCTGAAGCAAAAGAGAACTCCATGACGCCCCAAACAACCAGTTAAACATGCAATCTCAGATTTATTTGTGAGAATGTTTGCTGTCCATCACACACACACACACACACACACACACACACACACACACACACACAGCCCTGGGCCCGGGGAAGCAGAGGACAGGCAAAGTGGTGTTTTGCCAAAGCAGAACCCGGAGTCTTGGTGGCCGAGGGGCGAGTGCACAGGCAGGGTGGTCCCCGCAGACCCCTCCAGGCGTCTTGTTCACGTGGGGTCCTCTCCTCTCAGGTGTCTCTCAGCCCTGCAACACACCGAGTCCTCCCTCACCCCTCTCAGCCACCACGCCCTCTCTCCCTACCTCGCCCTCTCTGCCCCGTCTGCCCTCTCTGCCCCATCCGCCCAGCCGCACTGCTCTCCAAGCTCACCTGTCATGGCCACAGTCTGGAGCTGGTCACCTGGGTCACAGTCGGGCCCACTGGCCGGGGGTGTCCCCCGTGTCTGCCCACGCCAGGCCGCAGCCCAGAGGGCGCTGGCCGCGAGCAGCTTGCCGAGAAAGATGCAGGCCAGGAGGAAAAGGATGGAGGTGGGTGGGAAGGAGATCTCTTCCGGGAGGCTCCTTGGAGAACAAGGAGAGCATGTGGGAGGCCTCGGGGTGGCCTCAGAGAAGGATGGGGAGACACCAGGAGCTTCCGGGGCTTAGAGTACCCCCACCCCCACCCCTGGGATGGAGCTCCATGGGGCTCGGGAAGCCTGGAGTCAGGAGACCCGAGTTCTAGGCCGGGCCTGCCTTCCAAGTGCATTGCAACACATCACCTCCCTCGCTGCACAGTGTCTGCCCTGCGTGATGGGGTACGAGATGTGTGAGCGTGTGGAGGGGCACACGTGTGCTCCATGGTTATATTAACATGTTTAATACCAGTACATGGACATGAGCCAATCAGACTGATTCTGGTCCCATCAAAGGAGCGGATCTGGGGACCCCAGTTTTGTACTGAAGCACTAAAACTTCACTGTTCCTGGATTGTGGGGATGCAGGGGGCTGACCATTCAGGATTCTTGGAGCCACCGCTATTTACAAACTGTTGTGAAAGAATTTCAATGTTTTAGCGCCTGGCAGTCAGGCCAACTCACACAGGCCGGCAGCCTGTTTAGACAGAACCATCCCCGGCCCTTCCCGCTCTGACTGCCTTGGACTCCAGTCCTGGGACCCACAGCCCACCCCCCACCCCCGCCCCCGGCTCTCTGCTGGGAGGGGCCTGCGGGATCTTAGGGGAGACCTGTCACTGTACCTGGAGATGCTGTGCTCCACCTGGGCGTCCTCAAAGCTCTGGGACTGCTCGGGGGTCCAGAGCTCACCGGGGTCCTGGCCATCGAGGGGGTCTGTGGAGACAGAGCCGGTGACCTTGGGGAGGACCTCCTGGGTGGGGTGAGGCCTGTGGGGGTCAAGTTGTTAGCCCCCTGAGCCTCTGTTCCCTCGCCTGTGAAGTGGGCAGTTAGGAGCCCCCCTCAGTAACAGTGCTGCGGACTCAGTGGAACAGCCTTCGCAGGGCCCACCACCTCCCAGCGCTCAGTAAGTCTCAGGGTCTTTGGGAAGATCACGTGGAATAATGGATGTATTTGCAAGTCCTGCGTGAAGTGCTAAGCCACCAGCCTTGAGTTATTGTTATTATTATTATTATCATTGTTCTGCCACCATCTAGGGGGTCGGCTGGGCCTTAGACCCAGATAAGGCTGAACTTTTGTGTCCTCACCCCCTACTCCTCTTCCCACTTAGAAAGATGGTGAAAGTGGGGCTTGGGGTCTGGGCAGGCAGTGCCCCTAAGCTCCCTCCTCAGACAAATGCTACCCTGGAACCTCATTCCCACGATAAAGCACATGCTGGGCGAGGAGCTAGAAGAAGAGAGTCAGAAAAGGAATGGTGACCCCGATCTTTCCTTTGGATCTTTCCTTTAGGGCACGCTCACGTTCTCCCTCCCCCCACCCCCCTGCCAGAGGCTTCTCTGGAGGGTATCCCCCAGGCAAAGCTTGGGTCGGGAGGACCTGGGCAAGCCTGGGTGAGGATGCCAGGCAGTTCACAGCCGGAGGCTGGGGCAGAGCTGTCACACACACACACACACACACACCCGCACCTTTAACTGCATCTCCCGTGTGCTTCACAGGAGCCCTAGGTCAGCAGGACTTAAAGATGAGGGATTACAGAGGTGTGCACACTGCCCAGGGACACGGCCGTTCCTTTCTGCACGCTGTCCAGGTGTTTTTCTGCACCTGGTTGGGGCTTAATCTATGCTGGTAGGTCCCCTGGGTGGTTGGGTGAGGGAATTCAGGAATCTCCTTCTACTCCTTCAGGACCCCCTACAGTGTTCACTTCCCACCGATGGGCATGGGAGCAGGACCACAGGTGGTGCCCTGTGCGAATTAGAGACGGGTCCCCCTCCTACGGGTGATGCAGGGGGTGGTCTGGACGGGGGAGCCGGGTGGGACTGTGGCTCCTGGTGCAGTGAGCAGCCTGCACAGCCCCCCCGCGGTGGCCTCGGTGGGGCTTTCCCAGGGCCCCGGGCCCCAGAGGGGGGTCCTGTGCACAGACACCCACGGCACGAGCCCGGCCTGGGGACCTCCGAAGGGCCACCCGCTGCCCACTCACCGGCCAGCACCTCCACGAGGACCTTCCTGAGGGTGTCGGCCTCGCCCCCACGGAG